CCTTGTCTTCTAGAATCCCGTACTCCGGTGGTAGCCCTTGCTGTCGGCGGCTTGTTCGCTGCTCCTGGTTGGCGTCGGCGTCTTCTCCGCGACGTGGGCTGGGTTCACGGCTTGACGGGGGCGTGCGGTACATGAACGAAGCAGCACCTCCACCAGATGTCACGGGGTCGTGACGTGGCCGAAGACAGGAGACTTCGTGTTAGGATTTAACTGTTTATTAGGGCGAACCTGTGCCCGGTAAACTGAAAGTCCAATTACAGCAGCAGTCTCGCACAGATAGCAGTCTCGGACTGATAGCGGCGAACGGAGCGTCGGCCTTCGATCAACAACTGACAAGCGGTGAAGCGCGTCGGCATTTATACTCTTGCCGTCGAATATTCTAGCGTTATCGCTGGCGGTGGCGTAGCTTCCAGAACAATCTGTACCGTTCGCACAGTGGGCGTGATCTTATCGAAATGATCTACTACAGTCCGGAACCTTCTAGAAAACTGCAGGCGCGGTTTGCGCTGAGAATCGTGCGGTGTTTTCGGACGATAATAAAAACTTGGAAAATGTAACGTGGCAATATTGGTACCATGGAACTGCTCATCGCACTTCTGAAAGGCAACCAAAGCGTTGCAGCGACTTCTGTAAGATGACCGGAGTTGATTCACCGTAGGTGATGTCAAACGCGGAACTGTTACGTCGGTCGCAACAGTGCCTTTTCTCTTCCTCTCAAACTTTATTCCTCTTCCCCTGTGCAGGGTAGCCTACACCGGGCTCAGCCCTGGTTAACCTCCGTGCCTTTCTTTTGATCTTACGCTCCTCCTCTCTAAACCGTGACTCACCTATAAACGGCCAACGAGCAAGTTACGCCAAGGCGATTTTCCCGGATTGTGCTCGCGGCTATATTATTACACTTTAAGCGTCAATCGCTTTAACAGGCGCCTGCTCTTCCGATAAGCAGCTAAATGCTGAACACTCGCCATGGCTTCGCCGTTAAAACTACGTGAGAATAATAATGGAATTAAATGCCAGTGTGCAGAGTAATGTGTTCGCCGGTATAAAGACAAGAATGCGCTCACCCTTCCTGTATTCGTACGCTGCAAGAGAGAAGAGGGCACATCGCATACCTTAATAATCATACTTGGCTGTCGAACTGTGGTCGAGATATGCAGTATACTTCTGGAATAATCCTTGCGCCACTACATTTCCGAAATTTTACACTTTGATCTTAGCCAAAAGGCCGAGAAGCCATTTTTCCGAAATTTTCATCACAGCAATTGCAGCCTTACGTTGCGTAACTCTCGGTGGACACTTATTCAGCTATGTTGTCCGGTTTGGCGAGCGGACCAATGTTACGAGTTAACCCGTGGGTCACGATTGTACGTCCCCTTGTCATCGTCTCTTGAACTTGTCCCCTGTGTCTCATGAGCAAAGTAAGAACCGGGTACCGTCGTTACGTCCACACACACAAAAAAAAAAGTATGCGTAGAAAGTGAAGGACAGCATCACAGTCAAGCGAAGTGGGCAAGTGTACTCGACCTATTGTTGCCGCAGCCTCCCCTCCCTGTTGCCGCCCCCACTCCTCGTTGACATGGTTGCGGAAGCACTAACCGACTCCTCATTCCAGGCGCGGAAGCCATGCCCTTGACCATGCACGGATACTGTCAAGAGCGCCGCCCGCTTTCGGAGGCAGCGAGAGGATCAAGTGAGGGAGGGGGGAAGGCTCGAGAGAATGTGGGTCGCTTTCCCCGCTGCGGGGCCCTATTTTTGGGCCTCCACGCGTGTATGGTGGCTTTCCGAGGAATTGAGGTCAGGCAGGCTGCCGCCGACGACAACGGAGGTGGTCGACCCGGCACCGCGAGCCTCCGTGACGACCAGGAACCGGTGCGGATGTGCCGCGGGGCTCCGTTGCCGGTCAATTCTTTTGTCCGAGAGAAGGATGATGGAAGCGCGGCGAGAGTTGCTCACCTGAGCTCCTTTACTTCGCGTGGTGGGGTTTTCCGAGCCGGCGCACACCTGTCGGCGCGGGTTTTCTATGACGTAGGATGATGTATGGTAGTCGTTGATGGTAGTGTTCCCGAATAGCCTCCATTGAAAGTAAGAGGCGGAGATGAAGGGGAGGAGGAGAAGTAAGGGGTTAATTGGAGGTCGGGTCATGAAGGAAAGGCGGAATGAGCAAGAGCCCGTGTGCTGCGCTTCCTAGTGCCAGATAACCACGGGTGTTTCGAGCCAGGTCTGCGACAGCGAGAAAACTAGGCATGCCGGCTCCACTGCACGAAATCTTTCAATGCCTGCAACGCTTCATGTAATCAAATGCATTACAAGAAATATTTCCCGGATAACTGTTATCCACGGTTTCATCGTTCTACGGCCAAGCGTGCCTGTGGCCGAGTTATATTTTGACATGTGTGATTGAAAATTTTCGAAATAACGAAATCAAAGTTGGAGCCGACGAATGGGCAGCACATACTACACAAACACAAAGCGCAGACAGATGAAATGAGCAAGGGAAAATTCCCCAGATAGACTGGCCAGCATGTAACAGGATGACCCACTTTATTTGGTTTAATTCAAAACATCAGGGGAAAAAAATTCACATAAGCTAAACTATATTACGCCCAGCTATGTCAATCGAAGGACACACCCGGTAAAAAAAAAAAAAAAAAACGGACAGTGTACATAGGTTTTGCCCTGCCAATCCTTTTCTATGGATGCAAGGTTATACTAAAGGTGTCATACTAATTCCAAAGTTTAAGGTGTACTTCAGTAGCCATGACATATGGCAATATTGCACCACGTGCAGACGATCTCAGTGGCGTTTTTCAAATTACTGTGACGTCACTTACTCTAACGTCACTATTGTGCTCTCAATCCTAATTTCAAGATTGCGGCTATCTGGCTTGGGACGAAACAGATATTGAACAACTCGCATTCAGGGTTACTAGTCGCCCCCTAGCAGTGCCGGTAGATCTTCAGCCAGTTTGGATATTAGATGTGGTGAAAGCGAGCCGCACAGAGTTCAAGCTAGTACTTTATAATAATTCAGGAACTATACGAGAAACGCGTGTTGTACCCATAGGCAGAAGTTAATTGTTCGATTGAAGTCATGACACCTATAGCACTACTTTCATCCACCGAAAAATTCCTTTTAGGTAGTGAAAACGGCACGTGTACAACAAGAAAAGGGTGGGTTGATTGACGTGTGGGGTTTAACGTCCCAAAACCACCATATGATTATGGGGGACGCCGTTGTGGAGGTCCCCGGAAATTTCGACCATCAGAGGTTCATTAACGTGCACCCAAATCTGACCACACGGGCCTACAACATTTCCGCCTCCATCGGAAATGCAGCTGCCGCAGCCGGGATTCGATCCCGCGACCTGCGGGTCAGCAGCCGAGTACCTTAGCCACTAGACCTACCGTGGCGGGGAAAAAGGGCGGGTTGCGCCGAAGGCTAAAGAAAGCGTACTCGCAATCGGAGATGTTCTTCCGCATGCGGACCTCCGCAAGCGGTGGAAGAAAAAGATTACCGGTCATCGTGAAAGCGTTGCGCCGGCGGGTACACGCATCTCCGACGCATGCGCTGTCGGACGCAGTACACTATCAGCTAGGTCGGTGTGGTGGGTCGATGGCGTACTCGAATGACGGAACAGGATACACGCCGCGCCGGCATATTTCCTTCCTCGTACGGCGCGGACCGGGAAGCAACAGCGTCTACCGGGAAAATGCCGCCGGCACTCCATTGGGACCGAACTTCGCTGACAGGTGGCGCGCCTTACGCATTCCCTTTCGACGTCCAGAAAAGGCGCGATAGTTATGCTGAATGTGTGAGACCTTAGAGACCCAAATAAAAAAGATAAATATTGAACCAACACTACAAGTCGGTATGACAGGCACGCTGCGGCAAACTGTGAGAGGGGTCAAGCGTGTCTGACGAGAAGTGTGACAGCTACTGCTATGGTCCACAAATGGCGCTTTCGAAGAACGCACCCCGTGATTGCTTCAAGCAGGCATTTGGGTTTCGGGATCATGCGTTCATGTATTGCTTTGTCCGAGAAGCTGGTTCCGTTTTTTGCAGGCTGAGGTTATACCAGAGATTAAACGCGAGACAAAAGTACCGCCATCGTAGACATATAGAGAAACAAAAACGTCATGCGCAATCTACAGAAAGCGGATGTCCATGAAAGACAACCACGAGGCTCTCACATGTAGTGAAATGTCGCTGGCAAACACGCGCTCAGTCAGAAGCTATAAGCGGAGATGTATATTCACGATGTTCGGTTAATCGGTTCCTTAGTGCGTCAATGACAGGTGCTTCTAACAGATCTGCACACATACTCCTATTTCTATAACTCTTACTTACTTCCTCATACTCAGTGCGGAGTAACAAACTGAAGTAGTTCAAATAATCGTCTATGTATTTTAGGCATTTTTTTATATCTTTTCAGAGGAGATAATAAAATGTCACACGGTGTTCAGTGAACGCTTTTACAAGTGTCGTACAAGCAGGAGTGATCACAGAAAGGCGAAACAAGACCCAATAGTTTTCTTAGCATTAATATTATTTAACTGCGGAACTTGAAAGAGCTGGCTTTTTTATTCAGTGTTCATGCGCTTCGAGTCGATTGACTTGTCCTCTCATTCTGATCTCAATGTGTTTCGGGTAGTAAGAACAGTGAAACTACCACAACTGAAATAAAATGGTAGCCGGGTTTGAATCCCGAACTAGGGTGAACTTTTAGTCACCAAAGAAGCTTTCTTTCAGAGATATCCGTATAAATTTGTTTTTGTAGAAAAGAAAAGAACCACAGGTTCCTGCAACATTCTGTGTACTTTGACGTCGATGAAACATGGCTAATAACCTGGAAAGGTAGAGCTGATTTCCGAAATCATTCCCGCAATGCGTATTAAGACTTTTGTACGTGCTCACAGTTCATCTTACGAGAACAGTTCGTGATGCGGGTTTCGACATGCGGTTTGCCGCAGGGTCCGCTGCCAGCTGACAGGAGTGCACCATGGAGCTAGCGCAGCAGGCGGCGACCGTGCTGCTCTGGCCCTTCACCACCTTCTACCAGACGTACCTATGGTGCACATCATTCGCAGGCAAGTCACTTATCCAGACCGGCACCGGAATATCTTTGGGCGCACCCATATTTCCTGATTTGCGATAGACGTATACCAAATGTAGGTGCAACATAATCAGAAAGACAAACGAGCTGATGCACAAATATTTCCTTTTGATCATTAAATGCTGCATAACAGTGAGCGGTAAGTTTTGTTACCGATTACAGTTCGTGACTTGTAGTTTACAACAATACCCTAAGAGAAAGGTACGTGACAATATAACAGCTGCACCTTGCCAGCACTCACATACAGGGCAGGAACCTGGAGGCCCACGAAAATGGGTCAACTTAAATTGAAGATGACGCAGTGAGCCTTGAAAAGGAAAATGATGGGCCTAACATCAAGGAAAAAGAACCGGGCAGTGTGGGTCAGGGAACAAACTTGTGTTAAGAACATGCTCGTCGAAATCAAGAAAAAGAAATGAGCGTGGGCAGGGCATGTAGAGAGAAGGCAAGAGAACTGTTGGTCACTAAGAGTAAAAGACTGGATTTCAAAAAAAGGTGGACGCGTGTGGGGAAGGCAAGAGTTTAGGTAGAAAAATGAGATTCAAAAATTTGCGGGGATGACGTGATCTAATTAAGCGGTAAGCAGGCAACCGTATTAATCACATGGGACGGACCTTTGCCCTGCAGTGTGCGTAATCAGGCTCAGGGATGAACCTCTTCACTGAATGAGTTCGGATCGACATTCAGGCAATTCAAGAAGAATAGTACGAAACATCTTAGCTACTTAGCTTGACTTAAGCAACAGATTCCCCTAATTGAATTATTAATAATTAGGACATTAAGGATTATGCTAACTCACGTAGCCCTGCCTAAGTCAGCTAAAATTCCGAAAGCGAGCATATTTCACCAGTTGTAGCAAGACTGCCTTTACAGTTGGTCAATGTGTCTCAGCGATCGCTTAGTGGCGCGCTTCAGCACAACGCAGTCTGCCTGAGTGTTGGTAATTCGTTTGCTTCATAGCGTGCGTACCTATTCTCCTGCGAAATGCATCAGTTCTGTTGAAGATATTTGAGCATTTTGTAGGCTGAGATTTACTCTGTGCCTTCAAAATATTCAGTGAGTCGCAACAGCCTACCATTAAATATGAACAAAAGTAAGTGAAGGCCATCTGTAGCATGCTAGGAGCGTTAAGAGATGAGCGAAAAGAAATGAAAATAAAAAAGAACCCTGGAACTTTCTTACTGCTTCTTAACAAGGGCAGGCGTTGCTGTACAATTCAGTACATGTCGAAAATAAGTTGCTCAGGAAGCTGAATTTGTGTCGTGTAACGCTAAGCGCTTACATAAGAAGAGAGCAAAGACGTGCTTGAGGATATTTTTCCACGGCGTTGCTCCTAGGTTTACGACACCTTTTGAAGCCCCTTAACAATATTCGACGATGAACAGGGGTTTCCTCTAAAATTATACTTCTTGCAAGAACTGTTGAGAGGCAATAAATAAAGACATTAAAAATATTAGAAAGCATCGCAAATCCGTTACACTGGATTAGCTTTGAAGATGGCACCATGCTCGCTCACGTACAATAGTGGGCACGATGAGACGGAACACCGATCGAATTCGTGTTTTATAGACGATTAGTTGTAATGCACCATTGTGAACTTGATGTATTGAATTGCACGAGATACCTTTCCGCTTGAGCATTTATTGTCAAGAACAATTTTATGCTCGCCGACTGCGTTCAGCTTCTATGATAATCAACATGCAATTTCAGTGTTCTCTCTCACATTGTTCACGACTGTACATGTTCCTCTGCGTCGGCGCAGATCGGCGGACGGAGGACTGGCTCCTGGTGAAGTCCCCGATCCCGATGCTGCTCATCATCGCCGCCTACCTGTGCATAGTTCGGTACGGGCCCCGCATCATGGCGTCAAGGCCGCCCTTCCAACTGAAACCTTTTCTCGTCGTCTACAACTTCGCCGTCGCTGGGCTCAACCTATACATCGCCATAGAGGTATGAGCGGTGGCAACCGCTACAATGATTTGCATTTGCGAGTTTGGCTTGGTACGTGCGCTAACAACGAAGTCTATTGTTTGATTTCTTTTTTTTTCGCGTCATGTGTGCCTTCGAGATGTGTAACCGCACAGAGTGAGCATCGATCCGCGCCATCTTGTTTGAAGCCAGTTGTGTGTCAGATGCGCAATCGTGCAATAACAAGAAGAAAACACTAACGAAGTACGTAGGAAAATCTCAAGTCACTCTGCGAAAATCTCAGAGGAAACTTGCATATACCTCACCAAGTGACGCTATATTATGCTAGTAAACACTATTGTATCAATATTGCAAATTGGTTCTGCGAAATTCCGCGAGGTATACGAAAGGTCAACGAAGCGAAAAAATTGACAACCACTCGTTCGTAGCATGAAGCTACAAGGCCACAAAGCTACAAGAAAGCTACAAGAACGCTACCAAGTTTTTTTCCTTGCTGCCTTGTGCTACAAACAGGTGGTTGTCAAGTTTCCGCTTTCGTAAATGCTGCATCAAAGCGCATAGCTTTCGCCAAAGCATCCTAGTGTAAGTCCATGCACTCTGCTAGCTTAAGTTAGTTGTGTACACTTCAAGCACCGATGAGCAAGAACATGTACAGTACGCTCTGACTGAAACTCGAAAATTAAGGGCTAAGTAATGCACGCACTTTTTTTCTCCACTTTCTACACTTAGTGTCATATCGGTGAATTTTGACTCGAACGTCCTTACATCAGAGTTAACATCAACTTCAGCGGGCAGATTTCTGAGTGACAGGAGACGGTTATCTCGAGTAACTGCTCGAAGCAGTCATTATAAAACTAAAAAAAAGATATGCATTTAAATTTCTGAGAAGTGCACACAAGCACCATTTGTAGTAAATACAACAACCTTTGATCATCGGCTCTTTAATTAGCAGCTTCGTGTGGAAAGCTTCAAAGGTTGCTTATTTTACTCGCACTGTATACTGATCGAACGAGCAAGTGGTGTGAATGGCACCGAAAGCGCGAACAGCCTTATCTACAGCCTAACAGGGATAACTTAGTTAAGTGATTATGAAGAGACAGCGTATGAGATTACTGAGCGTGCTGCTGTGACGAGTCATTTCGGCTGCACTCACCAATACGAACGGCGTTATAGGCAGTGTGGAGGGGAGGGGGGATTCTTTAGGAAAAAAAGGTGGAAAGCTAAAAAGCTAAGGAAATGGGGCATGGAGTGCACGATAACTGTCTCTCGTGGGAAGACACCTCAACCGACGCACGCGTGGGGGAACGGGGAATATTTAACACGGGGAAGCAGTATAAAAAAGAGAAACTGTGACATTTATAAAGAAATGAGGAGGTTCCGCTAGGCACAAGACACGTCTACTCACAAACGACTGAAGTCAAGCACGAAATCACAAGAACATATGTTTTAAACAAAACAAGTAAGGATGATGAGGCCGCCTTACGCTTGGCACAATGTTTTAACGTGCGTAATGCACTTAATAGAAATGTTCAATCACGGCTATAATCAGAGGTATCTTGTTGAGGCGCGCTAGAAGTTTGCGGTAGCGTTTACATAAAGCGACTGAGGTCAGGGTGGCAGGAGTCTTCAATATACAGACGCTTACAGACAATGATGTAATGTCACCGCGTATTCTTGCTACAGGTCCCGACGCCCAGGTCCCTCGGAAGGATCTGCTGGTGGCTTTCAATGTCCAGTTGACGCTATACGGGTATTATGCGGACGCCGTAAGAAAAGCAGCGGAGTGATAAAGGTTGTTTTTGTAAACACGCGTCAAAATGTCAGAACGCCAATGTTTCAAAGGTGGAGGTATCGAGTCGACAGTCGCAGGATGATTAAGGCGTCGGTTGATACGTATCACAAAGCGGCGCCGACAACGGAACAAATTCGTGACCAGTGCTGCAACGGCTTTGCGAGACAAATAAAGAAGGCTGTCTCAGAGCTGCAATAACAGATTCATTCTTAGACCCGGACAACGCCGTAACATATTAAATACCGCGCATATGTCTTATCGTTCCTCACTGACTCCGGTACAGGTGCACGAGTCTTGCAGCGAAACAGTTGCAGCTGCTTTATCGCGGCGGTTTCGCCGCGCTGCTGCGTCCGATAGGTTTTGTGCGAAGCGCTTTTCCCTGCGGAAGGCGTTAGAGATTCAACCGCAGCAGATAAGCATATAGAGCACTTGTAGAGATTGCTCGTACACCCACTTCAACGCCTAGCACTGTGAATACTGCAGTGTTGCGTCGGCATTTACAGCGTAATCTAAATTTCGTACCGCTGTATCATATCTACAGTTCAACAGTGCTCTCTAGGGCCGGTTGGTTGAACTAAAGAGTTCTGAGTGAACAGCGCAGACAGCCGGTGTTGTTGCCGTATTCTTCATAGGCAAATAGGCATGACGCTAAAAGGACGAGGACGAAGTGAGGACGCAAAGAGACCAATATTGCAGCTCCCGTGTAGGCCGGTTTGTGTCTTCAGTTCGTCGAAGTCTTTTCAGTTCCATACCTACTTGCCTCCAGCAATGTACCGAACAGCTCAGCAACAAGCGTTGTTGACTTATATTCTCGTGTCCTGTTGTATTCTGTGCTGCTTATGAAGCATGTCGCGTATCCATAATTTCACAGCGACAACTTTCGCAACCAATATGAGCGATTCTGGTGTAGCGCTAAGGCGAAATCAATCACCTTTTTATTTGCGCGTAGCATTTGCTTAGCCAGCGCGACGGGCGCCAGACGGGGTAGGGGGTACTATGACGTTACCCACTCACAACGGTGCGTGGGTGACGCATTCGCAGTCAATAAATGTAGCAAACCAACTACGTACCGCATACCAGCAGCTGCACATCTATTTTTGAGTATACCTTTAGGCATGGCAGCGATGCATCGGTCTCGCTAAGTTCTGCGCCAACGCTATGTTAACAAATTCTTATTAAGATATACATGCCGTCTAAATAAGCAACTATACGATATTAATTTTATTGTGACTGTGCGCGTACACCCCCCGTCATACTTAACAATAACAACGAAGACACGTATATGGCAGCTTAACGTTCACAAAAACAAATACAAGACTATTAAGGAGCCCTATTCTTGCTTCTGTAGAAAGGCGCACTCAGCTGGTGAGCTCGAGGCATTCATACTAGATGTCCTTAGCACTCTGCGCACGAGATGCGAAATGACTTAAGCATTGTCGGTGTTAAGCGTGACGGCGACTGTACCTAGAATTCCTCGTTACGCTCAAGAACACGTCGGCAATGGTTTTTATGGGTATTGAGTGAACACAAGCGGCAACAGGGTTGGTTGTAGGGTGACTATGTCATACGAGTCGAATGGCTGCTCTTGAGGTTCGTTTGTTTATGTTGTGAGGAATGCAATAACTTGGTGTATTTTACATGGGAGAACAAAAGTTACCTTTCAAACGTTCCCATGCTCTAGCTTCACGGGCGAACATATCCCACATACAAAGAAGATGCCTATTCAGTGTTCTCATTTTAATGACGTGTTCTCTGTTTCCTAGATATTGTATTGCATAACCAAGCGGAGATACAGCTGGTTGTGCCAACTGGTTGACTACAGCGACCATCCGTTAGAGATAAGGGTGAGTATAAAAAAATGAAAAAGAAAAGACCGAGCTCTAGATACTGCGATCATGTAACATAATGTTTGCCTTGTTATTAAAACAGAAAAAAATGCCAGCTAAATATTTTCTTCCCTTACCTGACGGTCAGAAAGCAGTCGGCGCCATACCCACAGCGCTAGACCCTAGGGCCGGCTGGCGCTATTGCACAGCGCTTGCATTCAGTGTCATGAATGAGCAGCAGATGATGTTGTCACGTGGTCGTGACGTTGACGAAGGCAGCAGTTGGCGTGTTCAAGACTAAACTTTCTATTTGGGCGAACCTGTGCCCAGAAAGTGAATATACTTCGTGTAAGCGATTGCCACTGTAGACTAACAGCGGCATGAACAGTCGTCAGCCGTCGAGTCTACGGCGATATGACCTACACGGTGAGGTACGTCGGCATTTATACATGCGCCCAGAACACTCGAGCCACATCGCTGGTGCTCGCGTAGGCTCTCGAATAAACTTGATTATTCGCGTCCTGCGCGAAATGCTAACAGAACGATCTTGAACAATCACGAAGCTTCTCAAGCGTTGCACCGCTGTCTGCGCCGAGCATTGCTGACTGTCACTGCGGGTGGAACTCGAGCACGTCGAGATTAATCACTAAACAAGCATGCCAGCGCGCAGACGCAGTGTGATGGCGCCAGCCGGAGCAAGATTCTAGCGCTACAGTGACGCCAGCGGGAAGCACAGATTCGCCTAGCCCTGCATTTCGGCGTTCGCCTTTCTTTCCGTCACAATAGTACTTAAATTTAGGTGCAGGATATCAAAATTTCCGACGGTCACAATTTTCTGCGGCTCTCCACTATGGCGTGCTTCATAATCATACCATTGTTCTGGCACGTTAAACAGCTGAAATTATTATGGCTGGGAAAACCTTGCCGCGGCAGACAGACCGTGTTCGATCGCTCAAAGGCTATCATACTTGAAAGGCATAAGCGTGTCCTAACATAGACAACCTGCGCCTTGTGCGTGACTCCACTTAGTTGCCTACGCTAGCAGCTTCAACTACGATGCAGAAGAAAACAACAACTCAGAAGCTCTTTGAAATAAACTGCTACACACCATAACACAAATGAACATGTGACGTGGTGGTACACATGCTTTATCTCTGTGAACTGTCGGCTGTAAATGCGTCACGACTGGACTGTTATTACGCCAACGACTAGTCGTTGTGCTCCACAGAGCCATCTGAAAGCACAGTGACATCTCGCCCAGCGGCTGATGTGCTCAGCCGCTAGGCGCAAACACATTTGCGTAAAGCCAGCGGTGATAGATAGAAGGATGCCGCATGCCATGTACAAGGTAGACTTGCCACCACAGCCTCTTATTTGGCCCAATCAGCAAAAACTTGAATGCTTGACATTCTAGTTCGCAATAAACATAAGGATAAAAGACTGAGACATCCAAGACTATATATGTATACGCTCTTGTCTTCAGCAAGGTGGCTTTTCTGTAGACAGGGTCTTTATGAGGTGAAGCAAACGCACCGCATGGAGCTCAAATATGAAATGCGACACAGAAGTTTCGAGATAATGACCAGGAAATGTTTTTTTTTTGTAGACCAGAAATGAATTATAAAGGTAATTGTTTCTTTGATTTCGGAAATATAAACGTCGTTTATTCACTGTTAATAGTATTACGACACTGCGTGACTTTTTTACGCATTGTCCTAGCAAGGTACACAGTAGAGACGAATATATAAAAAAATATCAGGGTGATATAGTTATTGGCATACAGGGCAGCAACTTAGCAATAATACTAATAATAATAATATGCGGTGTTTAACGTCCCCAAACCACCATATTATTATGAGAGACGCCGTAGTGGAGGGCTCCGGAAATTTGGACCAGCTGGGGTTCTTTAACGTGCACACAAATCTGAGCACGCGGGCCTACAACATTTCCGCCTCCATCGGAAATGCAGCCGCCACGGCCGAGATTCGATCCCGCGACCTGCGGGTCAGCAGCCGAGTACCTTAGCCACTAGACCACCGCGGCGTGGGGCAACTTAGCAGTCAATGCCATTGCTGTACTGTCCATCTTCCTTTTCTTTTTTTTTGTCAACTTAAAACAAACACACACATACACACACACATAATACGCATGAACTGCCCAATTAGTAAACAGCCTTCACCGTTTCTTTCTTAAATCGCACGCTTAATTGGCACGAATTACGTTTAACTACTTTGCAGCAAGACTCGTTTACGGCGAACGGCACGGCACTGGTGACATAGCACCACGCTGTAAAAAAATTGTGGACTCGCAGTGGTTTGCTTATAGTCGCACGTGACCTTTTCATCCTCACACTCGTCGTCGTGAACGAAGCCGGGGAAGCAGCATCGAGATGAAATGACCCCATCCTGAGCGCTTGAGCAGAGCCCACGTTACACGGTGATGTCTGGCAGGTAACGCTTCCTCACCGCTGGCTAACCAGGGCCTAAAGGTTCCATACCATAATAGTCGGCATTTAGATGAACGACTGTCCGAAACACATCATTGACGCAATTCACTCCACCTGTTTCATGCCGTGAGGAGAAAGCGATGGTTGGTTGGATGCATAAGCATTAAGCTAGCTAGCTACTTATTTAGTAGGTAGATAGATAGATAGATAGATAGATAGATAGATAGATAGATAGATAGATAGATAGATAGATAGATAGATAGATAGATAGACAGATAGATAGATAATAGATAGATAGATAGATAGATAGATAGATAGATAGATAGATAGATAGATAGATAGATAGATAGATAGATAGATAGATAGATAGATAGATAGATAGATAGATAGATAGATAGATAGATAGATAGATAGATAGATAGATAGATAGATAGATAGATAACAAAGTGAGAGGTAGGAAGACCAATCTGAGAGGTAATATAATCTGCTACTTCTCTACCACGGGAAATGAGACTCATAAAAAAATAATGATTACCGGAGTTTAGAAGTCCGTCACCGAAGCCCGACTTTCATTGTGGAAACGAGCAGGCCTTATAAAGCTTGTTGCATAGACGTCCATCGCGACGGCGAGTCTAGAGTTCTATCTAGAAAGAGGAACGCTGCCCCGTCTACTGAGGTCAGAAACCAGCGCCTGTCTGTAGATATATGTAAGCTAACTCGCAGTTCACACGTTTCACGCAGTGACGCTGCTGTAGTCGCGGAGCGCTCCAAGCGACTGTCGCGATTGTCGTGAGCTCGACAGATCTTCTCGCCTGTTATTTTACCCACTCAGATATAGCACCGTTGAACTGACGTCATATCTGAAAAGAGTTATGCTCCTTGTAGTTCATGATAAAGCATGACGGCAAGCTCAATAATAAATAGAACATAAGGCGACCTAAGTTTTGCAAGACGGCAGATAAGACTATTGCGACAACTGACGACACTTAAGGCGCATAATAAGAATATTTATGAGTACTTCGCTTCAGCTAAAAAAAAAAGAAACCTGCTTGTTGAATCAGACGACGAATTAAACCGTTTGATAAGGGTTACTACGATTATAGTTCGAATTGTGCTTGTATTTGCATAGCTTCTGTATTGCTGCGTCATAATCGCTTATTAGCGTAGATTTCATTTTTATTTCTACCATGACCTAATATAAATATGAATTTCGACAATATTATTAATATATTTTTTTTTTCAAAAAAATGCAGTTATGCTCAATTCAGAGATTGCTACTTTCTAACTGGGCTAATAGTTTGGCTTAAGTAATGAAATATCCAGCAAAACAGTCGCCACATATTTCTTGCATCAACAGGTCATATCTTTCTACATAGTGTCTGAAGCTGAGATCACTCCACGTTATTTGCTCTTAAAGAACGTTGTTGCACCCTCGCCTCACAGATAGCACGCGCGCTGTGGTGGTACTACATGAGCAAGCTTATCGAGCTGATGGACACGGTGTTCTTCGTGTTGCGCAAGAAGGACAACCAGCTCACCTACCTGCACGTCTACCACCACTCGACCATGTTCTTCTTCTGGTGGATCGGCATCCGATGGGTCGCCGGAGGGTCTGGTACGTATATTATCAGGTCGGCGTGAACACGAATGGTATTAGTTAGTCACGTGATCAAGTGGTGGCGTCATATGACGACATTATCAATGACAGCGCGTCATGACGTCATGTGATAACGTGACCGCACGAGATTGTCACTTGCTCAAAGGTAGGCCGATCCGGAAGGGAATGCAACACTGAGTGAGGTGCAGATACATGTTCATGAAGAGGGAGAGAATGTGTGGTGCAACCATACTTGTGGCTTGCGCGTTCTTTGCTGCAAGCGTTTCTGATAGCTTCATGAAGTTCGGTACACGTAAGAAGATTCAATTATTGTCGCTAAATAATTTAATGTCACCTTATTTGTGTGGACAATTTTCGATTTCAGTTTCTGCGCGCCGAGTTGGGCAGTGACGTAACCGCACAAAGCTATGACGCGTGCCGAGTATAGTCTGCTCTCGCACACATGTGCCACCCAAACACCGTGATCATCATAAACAAACGTCCGCGATGCTTTGCCGGTACGTACGTGATGGAGGTCCCTCCCTTCCCTCTAAATCTGTATGACGTCACTACAACTTTCGCCGCCCTTCCTATAGAGATACGTCACAGTTGGAACGCGCTCGCGATGGGGCTCGTTCGGAAGAATGCGCAGTATAGGTGCAGTTTGGAAGTGAATTAAAATGTATTCTAAGCGTCCCCTGTGCCCAACCATTGATTGATATGTGGGGTTTAACGTCCCAAAGCCACCGTGTAATTATGAGAGACGCCGTAGTGGAGGGCTCCGGAAATTTCGACCACCTGGGGTTCTTTAACGTGCGCCCAAATCTGAGCACACGGGCCTACAACATTTCCGCCTCCATCGGAAATGCAGCCGCCGCAGCCGGGATTTGATCCCGCGACCTGCGGGTCAGCAGCCGAGTACCTTAGCCACTAGACCACCGCGGCGGGGCCCTGTGCCCAACCATTCGTGTTGAGTGCCATTGCATACAGAAGAAATCCACAAAAGGCTTCCGACATTTGATAGCACTACCCCTTTATTTGAGTGTCTCGAGAAAGTACGCTGTTGGCTTTCTTCACTGGAAGACCCTATTGGACGACATGGCCATTGGGCGTTGCGTCTTTAGTCTTCGAGGCTGCCCTAAGCATCATGTCCATGACTCAGTTTCTTCGGATTGGTGACGAACAACGCCTTGATGCTTACTTGCGATCTCTGATTGACCATCTCGAATCTGCCTCTAACGATGCGTTACTGCGAATGTTCGTCACCTTGAATAGCACGCTGTACCGTCATAGCGTCCAGCTAGATAGCCCTGAGCTCCTTCCCGTTGGGCCTATAACTATTTGCGTTCAACGGTGCTGCATGAACTTCCCAACGAGCCAACTGCCGGTCACATGGGCATATCTCGCGCGTATGACCACGGCCGGCGCAACTTTTCTTTTCTTTTTCACGCGGTCTCGCTCGGCACATTCAACGTTACGTGGCCTCCTGCGACACCAACCTCGGAAGCGAGCTGCTAGAGCCTCTGTTGGACTCCTTCAATCGATCTCCATCCCTACCAAGCCTTTCTTCCGTGCAAGTGTAGACATTCTCGGTCCTTTTCCCGAGTCCAATTTTGGCAACAAATAGACCACCGTTGCTATAGACCATGCAACCAGATATACCATCACTCGAGCGCTCCCCACAAGCAATGCAACAGACGTTGCCAACTTTTTGCGGCACAATGTATACTCTACACCATGGCGCTTTTCACTTTTTGCTCGCGGATCGTGGCCGCGAATTTCCTTCCCGGGTAAACGACAATCCTTTGCTCTCTTCGTCAACGCAGCACAAGTTGACCTCTTCCTACCATACCCGAACAAATATATCCTCCCCTACGAGCCTGAATATGCTGACGAATATGCTCTCTCTGTACGTCTCGCCTGACCAGCGTGACCGGGACCTGGTGCTACCTCACGTGACCTTCGCTTGCAATTCCTCGCGCCAAGACGGCGGAGACGCCGATGGATTTTCCATTTCCACATGCTACATGGCCATGATCCGCCGTTACCACTGGGCACACTACTTCCGGCTACCACACATCCGCCCAGCGAATACGCGCGCGACGCTATCGCTCGTGCTAAACAGCGCCAGATCACTCGCTCAGGGCTGTAGGTTTCACAAGCGATCCGGAAGACCCTCAACAATCGCAGCCGGCATGTCGACGTTCGCTCCTCACCCGGGTTAGAGTGCCTAGAATATTTCTCCTAGTGTCGTGAACGGGCCGGCCGAGGGGAAATGGTATGCGATACAGCCGCCAGGTGGCAGTACCGCTCTCTGGCGCGCTGCTTTTTCGGCAAGCTGGGGAGGCAGCAAGCCGGAGCAGACGCTTTGCGTTGAAATTGCAGTGGTGGTTTCATGGCTTAGCACGCGATTGCCTTGTTATCCTGCGTTTTCCATGCAGACTGTAAATAAAGCCTGTGAATTTGAACGAAATGTGAAAAAATATTCTAGGCACTCTACCCGGGTCTCTAGTTTTCCTGTGGTGCCCAGTCCACCGTGTTGACTTGAAATAGGAGTTATCGCGGTACACGGGTCCCTACCGTACCGTCCGCCAGGCGACGGATGTCACCTACGAAATCCTTCCCATCTCCACCAGCACAGACAGACAGAAAAATTTTATTAGCAAGCGTGTTTGCACCCCCCGAACCTCTAGACCACCGCGCAATCCCACACCTCGTCTACACGGCCATGCATCCAGTGACGTAGTGCACGTCAGTAGACTAAAAGTCATATCACTCTTCTTCTGCACCGAGACAGCGCTTTTAGCACCGGGAGTAATACCACATATTTAACATACCAAGGGTCATTTATTCTGCGTGCAGAACATGACAAAGAAGACTGGCATGTTTTTTTACTATGATTATTATTAGTACAAATTATTTTTAGGTACATCAAGTGTTAGTCAAGATTGTCCTGTCTAGTCTAAACGGGAGAACAACACTCATAGGACTTCTTTCGTTTTACGTACATTATTTTTTCATAAATGTTCAATATTGAAAACTGCCTAACTCAGGTAATTAGTTCATGGCCCATCCCACTGAGTGGGTATGAGCCGTACTTAAGGCAGTCATCATCATCATCCCCACCCGTGTGCATGCTGTTCTCCATCTCGGTCGATGCTGTGCACATCAGTGTAAATACAGATGTAACTATCCACGCCTCATGTCATTTTACATAAGAATATTATGTGCCTTTGCTTGTGCTAGTGCTTCCTATGTTGTGGCTAAGGGGCCTGTAAACCTTTTACTCCTTTCCTTAGCTTGCTTGTTGAGAGCCGCATCATAGGACATAGTAAATGATACACATGTATAGTAGGTGGTGCTATTACTAGCATGATTCAATGCCGGAGACACCTGGCCATTCTTGTTGAAATCGGCCAAAGGTGAAAACCGTGCCCTCCATCAAAACAAGAGCCTCTCACGGAGTTCATACTTGGGAAGATAAAAGTCGAAATCAGCCACTGACACATGTATAATTAATGCAGTTATGGGAATATCTTGTCGACATAAAGGTCCTCTTCCCCCTTACCCCATTGCGAATGTTGGCAAACACTGGCTGGATCATCTAAACAGATGTGACGTACATTGCGACTGAGAACCTCAATCTCCGAAGCACCCTGATGTTCTAACACACTTGCGTCTGCATTCTGTATGGCTGAAGCAACAGAAAGCTTGCTTCGGACACAAGTGGTGAACAGAAGAATAGTTTTTCTACCCTTTGACTCGCCTATTCAACCATTTCGAGCTTAATCGAGAATGGCATTGTTGCATTGCTCAGTATTTCAGCAGGCGAGCTCAGCCGCGTGCTGAAGGGCGGAATAGGTAAAGGTGCAGTGCTTTTATAATATAAGTGGTACTAGGAAAATAACATGATAAAAAGCACACCTCACACACACTTTTCAGCTCTTCTCTCGTGCGCAACACTGAGCCACACTTTCATGTTTGCCTCTGCAGCTGCCCCTGGTCCTAGCATCAACTGCCTCGTCCACGTACTCATGTACTCGTATTATGGCTTAGCTGCCTTGGGACCTTCTGTGCAGAAGTACCTCTGGTGGAAGAAGCATCTCACGCTAATACAGCTCGTAAGTATTGCACCTTTTCCCTTGACACAAACACTAGCCTGAAAACAGTGTAGCCCAAGATAGAAAACTGACAAAAAATATAAGTAATTGTGAATTAGGATCTGGCTCTCCGGAAGTATATCGTACATACTGTGGAAATAATGTTTGCGCTGTAAGCACTGCTGCTCTACTCACTGTGAACTAAAGTTCATTGCGCACAGCAATGTTATACTTTGATTACGAGTGTTCTATCTGGAAACTACACATGTATTTGTGGTGAAGCGTTGCTTTTGTTAATCAGGCTTGCACCGAAAATGTTTTTCAGGCCGAAATCTCAAATGCTTTGCATAATTATTCTAGTCAGCTTCACCGCAATACTCAGTATTCTGCACACTAAACGTAAAAAGAGGCATGGCGAGCTTGAAGCATACTGGCGGGCCTATAGAGCTATTTCTGACGTGGGCGTAAGACGCAACGCGCAAGAGCCTATGCATGCGCTTATGTAAAACAAGTGTGGAACCGTGACTATGCTCGATTTCAACTCTTGGTATGTTTGACTATAAACACATATGTTAGCGCAAAAACATTATGCTTTACCGCATAACGTCAATGTATTGTGGCGAAGCTGACCAAAAAAAAAAAAAAAAAAAACAAAGGACATTATTGGGCAATGCATACAAAAAAGCCCTTGCTATCCTTGCCTACTTGGCAAGCTGGATCTCTCCTTGCACTCAGTGGATTTTGTATAGAGAAGAATACTGTATATTATCCACATATTCATTTCGCACTAAGATGAACCCTTGGCATCGCACCACTTTTGCAGCTCTGATGTATCACAATCGACCCCACACATGCATTTCAATCATGCTCGAACTTATACATCAACGCTAAATCATGATACCCCACGCAAGCTGCAGTGAAACAGTTTTCTCTTGCGAATGAAACAGGAGAGCAGCGCAGATGGATTATTGGCACTTTCAAGCACACAAGATTAATGTGATACTGCAGTACCATCATCACTGCTATTATCTATTGACCTGACTGACGCTAGCACACATGGCCACGCGTGAGAGGGAGACGGTAGAAGAAAGCAGAGAGTTTACCAGAAAATGCAGGAGGTAAAAGGTAAAGGCTGCCAGTTTACCGGTGCTATGATGACAGTAAATACTTTCAGCATTAGGAACGTAGAGTTTTGCTTGCTTTGATGTCTCTGTGTAAACTTATGACTAATTGTTTATGAATTAGCTTGCATAGTTGCGCACAATTTCGACAATTATCCCTGCTCTACTGTAAACCTAGCAGTGCCACAAGCCCGCGTGAAGACTCTTCTGACGCAAAGCTATACTCTGAATCTCTAAAATAAGTCTGCTTCGAGGCATCTTGACATCCCAGCGACATTCACAAGAACACTTTGTGCCCAATGGATATTAAGCGAAAGTCATTCTAGCATCAATTCATGCGATCCTGAAACATAAAGTACTAAGGTAGTGTGGTTACTACAAAATTTGCTTTAGAAAATTATGAAATCGATCCAAAATTTGGATGCAGAAAGCTATAAACCCCCTAGCAAACAATCTGTTGATAGTATACCCGATGTTGCCTTTTGTTACTGTCACTCGAATTTGTTTGAGAGTATTACATGTCATGAATAAGTATGAACTTATGACCTTTCCTGTAACACCTTTCACACACACAGGTACAATTTTGCATCGGCCTGGGCTTTGGCATCAATGCCATCTTCAGTGGCTGCAAGTTCACAAGGTGGATGCAATACGCCTTCATCGTGTATGCCTTCTCTTTCCTCGTACTATTTGGCAACTTCTACGTTCACGCTTACAGGAGCAGGGTGAGTATGTTAGCATCATTTGGGCTGACCACGAATATCCTTGCATCAGTGGCCACATATGTTGGTCCCGACAGGCCAAGCACCACTTGTTTAATGTGGTAAACAAACAATTGTTCCATTATTAGGACAAATGTAAATATCTTAGTGTGCAAATGCAACTCAAACCATTTTCTGCACTGGAAAAGTGTATACACTCATGAGGCCCCATGTCGTTCACTGTACTTTAATAGCTCTTACCTCACACAAAATTTAAGCGTAGAAGTGCAAACAGTGACTAATACAACCACTCATAAAGTGTTGCTATAGAAAGTGGGCATCTAAAGTGGTGTTGCAGGGTAAGTGAGCCAAGTTAACACAATGAATTTGCATACTTATTAGAAGCTAAGGCATGTCTTGAGAAATTGAAAGTACAAAGACTTGCAGTGCAAGTAACTAAAGCGTAACGCATGCTAACTGGCATTTTATTTACTAATAAAAATTAGGTAGGTTTATGGAATGATGTAAGGTCAAGGACAACATCAATGATAGCAGAAAGCAACTTTACAATATGACCTTCATGTGAAAGCAATCAACACAAACTGCATGAACATGTGTCACTTCACTCCAACTCACAGCCTCTGCTAAAAAATATTGGTGCGGTATGCTGTGGTTGGTGCGCAGCCTTACTTGTACGGCAATGTCTGAAATTAAGCTGCCAGTGTGCACGCATTCAGTTTTGCGGAAGCAGTATCATGCCTAACATAGCAAATGAGGAATAAAACGACATAAATAATACCGTATACGTTAAAAGGAGCATAGCTACACAAACACATATTTTGCACAGCAGGGCATAGAAACATTTGCGCTGCATTAAAGGGGCCCTGCAACACTTTTTAGGCATGGTCAAAAAACGCTGCCGATCAATAGTAAGGGCTCCCGAAAACACGCGAGCCAAATATTATAGCGCAGCACGCCGCCTGGAATTCATATTAAATTATCAAAGTCAGCTAAAAATTGCTTTCTCTTCTCTCGAGAAATCACGGAATAAGCCCAAAAACCACTCCTAGTAAGCCCATCTATTCCGGGCGTATGAGCCATTGGCTGATTCGAACATGGCACGCTCGGTCGTTGCAGAGATCACCGCTACTTGTTCACGCGTGCGCACGCGATCACACTGAAAAAACTAAAAACTCGCACATTCAAAGGAAAAAAAGGAAAAAGTGCTTAAGGTTAGGAGGCGCACGTGACGTTTTTTTGTTAGTTCCTCCCATCACTCCATGCTTATCTTCCGCCGCTTTCGTCAGGACGAGAGAAGAGAGAATGCGATTGTAGCATGTGACGAATCTTTGTAACTCCGCTCATACTGGACAGATTTCCAAATTTTTGTAGCATTGACTTTCTGAGGCAATACGCTTTTTCAGTGAATTAATTTCATGGTTACTCAAAGAAGTGTTTCACGGCCTCTTTAACACAATCAAGTTCTCTCGTAAACTTCTTAAAACTTGACTTAGTCTCTTAAATCATCCCTTGCCTCCTTTTGGTATAATATTATATAATAAAGAGCATAATAGTAATGTACATACGTTAGTAATGTACATACTATAAAAGTATACACAAGTACAGGGATCTTCAAAAGTTCCCAAGACACTATTCTATATATTCCTATGGCAGGGTGGCCTGGGAATTTTCGACGGCCCCTGTACATTAGGTAGACATGTAATGAAGGAAAAAAAAAGCTGTTATCAGATCTTGCCTGAGCTGCAGGTATTGTTGGACTACTTATGTAGAGTGCTTGTATATTTATACCTGAACATTTACAGGGCCCTTGAACCACTGAGATGTTGAAACTTAGTTGTGTTGCTGTAGTTGTGCACAAGCCTACAATGAACATGTTGCCACGCAATTTTTTAAAACGGTGCTGTAATAGCGAAGTTACACACAGTTCATGATGCAGAAGAGGCCCTCAGTCATTTCGCTCTCTTTTTCGCTAAGCTCTGTTTGCCGGCCCATCCCTCCTCCTCGTCGAGTGCTCCTCTTCACACAGTGAGGAGGAAGAGTGGAGAGTGTACGTACCTGCGAGCATATAAACAGCTTCATTATGTGGATGACATGAGCAGACAACAATATTGACGCCACAGCGAACGCCGAGGCAGCTGAGCATTACCAGAAAGGCCCAAAGGAGAGAACAAATTGTTGCCTAGAATTTGGGCGGTACATGTGGCTCGTAGAACTGCTGGGTTCAGCCTAGTTCATCGTGAGGGCATTTGGAACTCGATGCATGCGTTCACTTGAAAGATTAAACAAAATTATTAGGTGTGGTTTGTGGGCCTTTTAAACATATTCAACATCTCGCACTGTCTGCAGAGAAATAAAAAATCTTAACTCTTGAAAATATATGTATAAATGAGAGAAAGCTTGTACAAGTAAGAGAAGTCATGTATTATTAAACTGCTGTGCACAAGATAGCAATGAACCTAGCAGTAAGGTATTACAGTTGAAGGTCTATTTCAATTCGTATGACAACTTTGCATAATGTGAGCAACAGCTAAATTCTATTGTGAGCAAAATAAAATAAAAGTGTGTGATGAGGACACTTTTCTATTTGAGGAGATAAAATACCCAGCACCAATTTTATCATGCATTAGACATGTTAAAGTAAAGAAAACATTCCTCAAGCTCATGCTGCTTTTTCAAAGCATAATTGAGTGAAACTGATCCAAAAAAATTGAGAATGACTGCATGCAATGGTAATAGCTGATGGAGTATGCTAATCAAGCTGAATAGCAGTGTCTCATTGAAGAAAAACAGCATAGATGAACAGGACACCAGAAAGTACATATGTTGGCACAGCCAATAATTATTTGTTCTTTGAAACAGCATACATAGTAAACCACTTGCAAAGGAAAGCACTGCAGCACCTTTTTTGACATGTTACCTGCAATAGTGTGTTGTCTTCCTTCAAGTCACAAACCAAGCAGCCTAAATACCCTTCTGTGGCATCTCAAAACCTAGTGCCTGTAAATTTATTGGGCTTTTCAAGAGGTCCACATGGGAAGTCTGTGGGCAACTTTTGTTTGTGATCAAAAGTTTATAATATTGCCATACCCAAAACTGCCTTGCACACCCTAATGACACTCTACGCTCATTTCCTCAACAGTATCAAGCCAAGGCAAGCAAAGCCAAGCAGCAGCTTGGGGAGCTGTCCCAAGAGGACAGCGATTCCATCGACAAGCAATACCTCTTGCCCTCTCTGAGCACAATGTGCTTTCCGGAAGGGGTCATGGACAGTGACTTCAAGAAGAGGGATTAGGATGTCGATACATTGCCTTTGAGAAGGACTTGGTTCCCGTCATTCTCTACGTCACTCGCAGAGAGCTACATCGGTTCAATGGCCCTACATACTGTTCTAGGATTTCATATAATGGTCTTACTCAGTGCTGTGCGCATGGAAAAGTTATGGCTGCATGCATGGCTTGCGTGATACACATATGCTACGGTCGTTCAGCCAATCAGTAGAACGCGAGGCAGTATGTGATAGCAGCGTCCTAGACTTGTTTCTATGAAACATTCTCATAGGGACAAATTCTGTTTTGTGATAGAGGCTCAGAAGTGTTTTATCACAGGAACAGAATGAGAACATGCAAACATTATGTCATTTAAACACTTCTCACAGCACATGCATGATGCCTTGCTAGAATGTGCTGCAAGTTTCATTGCTGCAAGTGCTATCATCTAGCAATAGTGACTGTTCATTGCGTTGTGGCCTGTTGTATATTGTTTCCTCTTAGAGTTCCGGACAGCAAGTTCTAAAATCACGTTTAGGGGCCTTGAAGTGCGAGGCTCAACAGCTTTCACATGCATCACATATTTACTAAAAGGTTACACGCACTTTCATGTGACTGACCACTACTTGAGGCGTTAACAGCTACAGATACTATCAACAGGAGCTTGATCACCGAAGACAATGACGATGAATTGTTTGCAAGTAGGAGAAATACCCGCTCCTGAATGCGAGAACTGTGCCACAATGATAGATGTGAAGACAACTCATTCCTACAAGAACACCATGATGCTACAGTGGCCCATGCATTAACCCTGCAGTGCCCATGTGATGCATATGACAAAGCTAATTCTCATTCAGGGGACGTTGTTTGAAAGTAGTTTAAGAACTTTAAGCAGGGAGTCTTAATGCACATATACCTTCTTATTCACCTTCCATCACTGCTTGATTGTAGGTACGGTTCCAAGTTGAGAAGTCAGTACAGCATGTAAAATAAGCTGGGCATTACAGGGTTAAGATGTGCTAGCGCATCCATCGCAAGGGTGAAAAAAGAGAAGTGCATTTCTCTCGTGCTAGGCAATAGACATCACAATAGTAATGCTGCCTTGATAATAGAATATGTTAGGAACTAATGTTATGATAAATAAAGCCATCAACTTGCATATCGCATTTTACACCAAACTTGCTCCATATTTTAATGCATGACTGTGGGGTACACAAGAAGGGAAGCAAGGAAAACATTTTACACCTTGCCTGCATAGAACACTAGATGATGTTTTCAACTACTTCGTGACTGAAATAAAATCAAGTTAATACAACAAGCTTGCCTCATTGCTTTGAGAACATTTAGTGTTATTTTGATTTGCTTGAAGAGGGAGCAAGAATATTGATTATATGAACGCCCCTGCTTGAGTAAGTTTGGCTGTGCAAGATTTGGTGAGAACCTTCTAGCCTTTTTGAATTAGAATGACAGACTTAGTAACTTAGTATTTTCAACTGAGAAATAGTGTTATTATTCATACAGGCCACCAATAAGGCATTGATTGACTAAAAAATTGTGCAAATCCTACACATTGCGAGAACCACTGTAATCCTAATTTTTCATGTCCTGGAACACTCAATGGAATGATGCTGCATCAAATGAGCAGGTGTGCAATGCTCTCTCTACCCCAGAGTAGCGTAATGGCATCAATGCTTGGCATAAAGGGAAACTAAAGTAAAAAACAACAATTTATGCCAGAGTGAAAGCTCAATGTATAACAACATTTAAAACGACAATATTATCAAAAGCAGTGCCCTGCTTACTGAGAAATTAAGGTAAATGCACAAGAATGCATGCGCCACAGCAGGACATTTTCAAAATGATACCGATGACGCCAGATGCACCGCCTACAATTAATGATTAGTAATCAATCTAGCTGCACTAAATAAAGAACCTTGTCCGGGCATCAAGAGATGCAATAAAATGCTGCTCCTTCGTTTCTGTTTGATTCATGGAAAAACAGACGTGAGTGGTTCGAAAATTCAATTTTCGCGTGGTTAAACTGGACAGAGCGTACCATCTCGTGGAGTGCAGTTGAACCAAAACACGTCTGCCATCTCGGAGCCTATGACAGGATATTGATCAATGGCCGTTGTTGCTGCTGTCACTCCCGCTGCTTTCGTACTGTCTACTAGTGTCGGCAACCGCACAGTAACGCCGGGCAACGTTGTGCACGGCAATAGTGACGCGAGTTGGTCCGCTTCTTGAGGCAGGTAATTTGAAGTGCGCTAACCAGATGCAGGCAGCTTAAACGTGATAAGCCCTTCCTTGGTACAAAAGTAACACTATGAGCTTTCTGGACCGCTCTTTCAACATATGATGTCAACTTGACATGAGTGGTTATGCCAATCAGTCAAATGATGCACGGCTCTTTTGGCTCGGGGATACATTTTCTGCCGTGCAGTCACAGCAACTGACCTCTAAAACATCATGCATTACAAAGTCCTCATGCGACAGCACCCATGTCTAATACCGCTAGGTGGAATTCTGCAATGAAGGTGACCATTAGAATACAACGAGAACTTAGAAGGGTAGTGGCTTGGGCTAGTTGGTATGTCATGACAAATGTTATAACATGAACTGAAGGACACAGAGACAAACAATGACGTTTGCACACGAATCATTGTCACGGTTGTGCAAACGGCAGGTGAGCATGACTCACACATAAGCCGTCCGTAGCCTCACCTAAGACGAAATTAAGTTTTCTTGGGAGCATCGGTGCGTGGAAGTAGCGACAGTTTTATTGCTTTGTTTTTTCATGCTTTGTTGCCTGTTTTCGTCTTTTTGGCTCGCTTAACCATTCGCTTAAGTTTTCATAGTTCATCATTCTTCAGATGTTGTTGTTCTTTGTGGTTCAGCATATATAAATTTTCATTTGGGCTCAAACACAGCAGGAAGTTCGGGCTCGTCCTCGTTTGTCGCTCTGTGATGATGCCCTGTAGTGATGCTACAGGTGCTTTTCAAGCAAGAATACAAGTTTATAGGCCAGTGCTGAGTAACCGAAATACAAGCATATCGACTAGTACTTCAACAAAAATTTAATAGTAAAGTGCTCTATGCTGAGGTCAACCAAGATTTCACTGACGTATTTCCATTATGGATATGACGTTGGCAATATGTACGCTAAGAAACGACAAAGAGAAAGGCTTCACCGGTGTGAATCAGCTGGGAATCAAACCGAAGACCTCTCAGTCCACAACGAAAGGTGCTAGGTGACCTACCTGTTACGTCACCAATGTAGATGCACGTGGCTCCAAAAACACATTTTACATGTCTCACACATTGTCTCATAGTGTGCTTTTAGTTCGCGGGGTGGCATCCACTTCCATGAGCGGTCAAATGAAGCACAGCATTATAACACTAACGAGCACTGATAGAGAGCAATTCAATGGCGACGCAATTCAGGCCGCCTCAATGGCAGCAAAGGAGCGCTGGCCACACTGGCATCGAGGATGCACCCAAGAGCTTAAGTTACGTGCGTCGCTTTTCGCATCATGCTATTGCCTTATCGGGTGACAGCTTGTTGTCAGAGCAGAGCAGCTGCCAAGTGTACCAACGAAGTCCCTCAGCAGCCTACTACTAGCTAATAGCACTGACTAATAGAACTGCTATAATAAGCTTCACAGAAAGGCAACCAGATCGACAGAATTTCGTAAAGCAAGACAGATGCCAGCACAAGCACTGGCATAGTCAGAATGTGGCACACTGAACCCATGCCTCCTCCCACCCTTCCCCAACATTTTTTATTTTTTTGCATTGGCATATAAAGCACAAAATGACACTCTACTGGCACTCAACAACACTTCATATCAAGAAGGTGCCCCCCCAGCCCTGAGAAAAATTTTTGAGAAAACTTGAGAAAAATGCCTTCACGCATTGAGCTATGAGCATCTGCCTCCCGAGTTCCTGAAGTGCTATGTGGTACGTAGCGTGAGCACGGGCACAAATGCCGGTTACCCTATTGATAGAGATTGTGCAAAGAGTCCCTACCGTTCAATGTTTATTATGCACTTGCTGATGCCATTTTCGCATGGGATTCACCATATTCTGTGTACAGGTATACTGTCCAGGCCACGGAGGAAGAATTGACAGGAGGGGAAACTGGCCTCCTTTCCGTGCCGCGATTGTGTCACCCCCCGGAGCAGCGGCGAACTAGAGTTACTGTAGCATTAGAGTTACTGTATATGTTACCTTTAGGTAGCAGAGTTGCGCCACTGTTTTCCGGGCGCCGCTCGCTCCGCCTACAGGAGTTCAGCGCCCCTATTCACCAAGCACCATCACGTGGTAATAGGTGGTTCATTTGCACTGCAGAGAAGCCAATGCTACAAAGATTCCCGGCAGATCAGGCGTGGTCATCAACGGCTGTAGTTATTCTCGCCGCGCTTCTTCGCTAGTGTAGCTATGCTGCCTGTTGGTCAAGAGAAATACAGCAGCAAATGCATTCTGTGTTGAATTGTACTACGTAGAGCCCATGTGATTAGACGCGGGTGTTTCTATAGAAAGATAAGTGTTCAGTCGGAAGGAATAAACGCTTGGCCATGGTCGTCGACAGCGTTTTCTCTTGGGGGTGCAAACAATTGTTGCATCGTGGCTTAGGGAGAATGAGAGCACGGGTCTAGCTTGGGTGAGAGCAAGTGCTGTTGAGGCTTCAGGGGGGCAAGTGCCCCTTTTCCACTTCTCTGCAGACGACCATGCGTTTCACTTTTTTTTTATCTATCCACAGCACTGAAAAAGTTGCTCTATTTGTATTAACCGCAGATGCAGTATTCAATACGTTATACATGACGACTCGGTCAGCGTGTGTCAGCTGCATACGTCCAAATTGGTCTGGCAGCTAAGACGCTAAAGATAAAGGGAGAATTTTGACTAGAACTATTTGATCGGCAAGGTGTTACTACTAGCGCGTGAATTGAATGCGGCTTTGAAACCTTAAGCGAAAAGAATGTTGGACACGTCAGGGCTGTTGAACAATGATTCACATAAATTGTCATGAGCCGCGATTGTAATACGAGCGTAATACGAGAGCCGTGCGTAACGCGTGCGTCGCACAGCCATTCTCGATTGCTATCCAGCTTGATTCAGTTGAAGACTACAAAGTTTCAACTGGAATTCACACAGTTAACAAATGAACCCAACACGATGAAAATATTCCATCCCTAACTGGCGCAATAATGATCAAGAGTGAAAAATATTTCAATATATGTAAATGAGAAAAACAGCACAAAAGAAGTCGAAGCTAATGTGTGGCTTACTATAAATATACATATGTATCACTGGTTCAACGAGCCGACGCATTTTTTCATCATTACATACCATAAACGTAAACATAAAATAAAGGCTTCCAGGCATGACCAGAGCAACTAAGTTTTTCTCGTACCTTCATAAAAAATAGAAAAAAAAATTAATAAATAAAGCTACGCTAGTACTCTGAAGCGAGAGCGCTTCTCTTATGCGGGTGGTGAGTGGCTTTTCCGCAAGACATTTGAACCCAAGATGGCGTACCTTGGCACAACTCTCCTACCTAAAGGTAGCATATACAGCAACTCTACAGCGAACGGCGTGAAAGCGCCACCTACAGAACCGTGGACGAACTGCTGCGCCAGAGCAGCAGCACGCGAGAAGCGTGGAGCCCGCTCTTGTCGTCTGCTTGCACACCTACTTTCGCTGCTCAGTGTATTAGCGCATAGCACAGATACTCGCTAAACGGGATGGCAAATCGTTACGATGCGTTTCCACTAAGCTAGCCAGAGCACCTTGGGAGAGAGACCATACTGCGATAGTTTCACGAAGCTGTTCACAAGACCTAAACAGGTTCGCTTTCACTCTTTCCATGTTGCATGCGAGGGTAGAAATGCCGTTTGTGGGAACATGTCATATAATATGCTCTAATAAAAACAATACATACAGGGGGAGTTTTTCTCAGTAAAGAAAAATAAAAAATTAAAAGCAGAAAAGCAGGAAAAGTATTTTTCTCATGTGTCTTCTCTCTCGCAAAGCTTGTTTTATGTTGGAACTTCTTGAGAACCAATCCTTCATGCCAAGCTACAACAATTAAACATGTAAAACGGAGAACCAAGCTTTTTTCGCTATATAGCTTACCTGGATGTTTGAAGGTTGGCAAAATATTCGCCAAAGACTTATGAATCGTGCCGAGTATCCGCTACCTTCACTCATTTGGCGCTACTTTTATTCGTAATTTCAGCGATATTCCGGCCAGTTCTTGCCTTCAATTCTGGGCACGAGTAAGTAAAACCTCCGCTTAAAGTGCCGCTTCAGCGAGTCACAAGATCTTTGGCTGGCCAAGGATGTCTGTAAATTTAAATTTTGCGTAGTGTTGCGCCTGCTGATCGTTCTGCTGCAAAAATAATTTTCCTAGACACAGTCGCTTCCCATCCATTGTCTATCTCCTCTTCATATAACCCTCGCCCATTCTTGCTACTGTTCTTGGTCAGACGGAGCACTAAAAAGTCAAATTTATTATATTTTTATGCAGAATTGATTCACATGTCCAGGAAGTCTCCGCTCTTCTGTTCAAATCAACTGCCGTCTGCTCAAATGTGCTTCATCAATGTTTGTCTTTATTTCTGTATGGCGCTGTTATATAGAAGAACGTACAAAATCTATCCTCAAGCTACACAATCAGTCATTTTAGGCACACGCCTATAAACAATTACAAATCGTCTGTTTTTTTTTTTGAATTCTACAACTTCATTTCTTTAGTTGTCCGAAGATCATCTGATCCAACATATATAATTAAATATGCTGCCACTAAGACACTCTACTTGCTTCATTTTGTTTTGGCAAACCGCGCCAGCGAAAAACTTTCATAGCTGCATCCAGTAGCATAGTGGAGTCTGTGAGAGGCAAATGTAGCAGACGACACTTGCATGCGTCGAAGACCAGACTGCGCTCTCCTCCCGCGGCAGAAAACAAATACTTCTGTGTGTCGCCGCAAAGATCGCTGTGCGCACGTTTGCCAACCTCCTTTCCCAGGGTGGCATTATCACAACGCGCACTTGCGTCAGCCCAGAGATTCCCCTCCCGTCTTTCTTGCTATGTGGTCCAGGTATATGTTTAACCACAAAGGTTAAATCATGAACATGTGTGTTCATCATCGGTATTGAGATGTACCCCTAGGATTCAACATGAGTGCATCCATATCAGACAGTGCTATACCTGCCAAACACCAACAAACATTGCACAAGCTCTTCTATATCAATGCACAAAAAAAAATTAACTACTTTTGTTAAGATATGTTTCACTTTCGAGTCATTCATCAATCATGGTTTTTTTTTTCTGCCTTCAGACTGAAGTCACTTATCACGTAGGTCCGCATAAAGATGTAAAGTTCTTTCTCTTTGACGATGCCTGTGAAGACAACTTCTAATAATGAAGGAACATTTCTCGAGTACTTCCGAGTTTGCATAAACGGTAGTTTGCTGTATGCAAGTCTACAGTGCAGCATAGGCCAACCATAAAGGCAATACTAACAGTGAGCTGCACGCCTTCATTTATGTAAAAAAAAAGCTTCCCACTGGTTCACTCTTGCACATCTTAGGATATACTATGCAAGAATGGCCAAGCAATGTGTGGAACAGAAAACCGGTGGTCAGCTATAGCAAAAAAATGACTACTAAGTGATGGGAAACACAAATGAGGACAGAGGTGAGTTACATGGAGGAACAAAACTAACAAATTCACGGGGGTTTAACAGAATCAGTTTGCACAAGATGGCGTAAATTGTCAATAACTGGAGAGAAGCCTTCATTCTGCAGTGGACATTAATTCTTGGTCGACAACAATGATGACAACACAAAAATTTACGAATGCCTCTGCTTAGATAAGAAGCTGCGCCACACCAGTATTGTTCTTTGAAGTTTGCACATTTATTCCACATAATGACAGCAAAGAAAGAACATCGATACTGCAACACAACAACATCAGTAAGGGGTAACCACAGTCTTTTCCACAGATCTAAGAAATACAGCAAGGAGTGACTACCCTAAACTGAGTGGCTGCTTAAGTATACAATAGCAGAAGGGCACCATTTATAAATGGACAGATGCTTAAACTTTCAAGAAATGTGAGAAGCATACAAAACCTTTTATAAAGCTTCTCTCTTTGGGAACGAGCACATATCTTGCACCTAAGTGTGTACCTAACATCATGTACACATCCTGACATCCTAGTACACTAGAATGACATTCCGGAGGTCCGAAGAGAAAACTAAAGGCGTACATTTTCCTTCCTATATATACACACACACACACATTTGGGCATTCTGACTTCTAAGACCACTGCACCGAATTTAAACACTACTCTGAATGATTCTTGCTTAAAAGGATGATACTTCTGGCATATCGACATTTAACAGCTATTACAAAATTTTTGCATGGATTGCTTGTTTCAATCTGACGTAGCATGACCTTAGTGATGATAAAGGTGCATTCACAACACGCAGTATAGAACAAAGTGTAAAACCAGCAAAGGATGCCAGAATGTGTCTCAATAAGTAAAAAAGAGTCACAGATGCTGCCTCCCGGTTCTAGTCAGAATTGTTAATTGCATACACTTAGTCGTTATTGCCAGAAAAATTCGGTGCAGTAGCTGGCAGCATGTAAAACTTGAGAACGCATTGCCCTTGCGGAGACAGCAGACAAGCAGTGGCAGCTATGACAGAGCAACAAGGAAGGCTTCAATTGGCTGAATTAGCTAAACATGACTGTATCCTTAGGGCTAACGGTAATGTCAAGATATCACATATCCTTTGTCATACTTCAAATGTTAGGTACAGAAAGATGCTTCTTTGTATAATCTGGGCGAAAGAGTTACTTAAATAAAATGTGGTGAAGCACTTCGAATGGCAGGATTAGATCTAACAGAGAAAGAGAGCATGACTATGAATGCAAGAGGAAGGAAAAAAATGGCAGGAGAAACTAAAACATTGCAACTGAGCCACTCAACGTGTGTCGCATGTCACGTGACAACAGTGCAGCGTTCTCGTTTCATCCTTTTCAAAAGTTCTTGTGGTAGAACCCTGGGACCATTGTTCCGTCCTTATAAGGCACTTTACTCTCCCCAAAAAGCTAAGGTGCTTCAGCTCGAATCCTATTAGAAGGATGAAAGTTTCAAAACGATTTTCACCAACTTTGAAATAAGATAAGTGGGACGGGTTGAAGCTTCACAACGTTTAATTGAGAAGCAAAAAAAAAAAGGAAAGTGCGAAGGTATGGCTTTAACCTCAAAATAAAAAAAGGAAAGGAAAAGCATGACCAGTACAAAAAAAAAAGAAAGCTAAATGGAAACATAGTAACTATAGAATAACAAAACATAAGCTATAGAACGTCAATATAAATATTTGACCTTTCCCTCACACTCGGGGTAATGTGCACTGGCCACGTGAACACTGACACAATGCAAGAGGGTTGGAGTGAAAGCCTGGGGTCACTGCCCTCCCATCTCACGAAAGTTCTCAAAAAGTGCCATCAGTGAAGCAGATCCCTTATCTCCTGTTTCTCCGCAGCTTCCAGGTAAGTCTGGCCCTCGGGCGTCCTGCCGTCCTTCGAGGCACCCTGTGCGAGAAACAAAGTCACTGCTTCAGCTTCGTAGGTAATTTTGCATTGTTCACCTAAATAAAACAGCCTGCTCTATCAGACTCCTAGGACTGCTGCACGCACACTTCGACAGCCAGCAGCAGGGAACACAATCCTGAGGCCCCCAGCCAGTCTTCCAGTGCAGACAACTTAAAAAGAAAGCTTCCACCTAAACTACAGCAGATACATTTATAGATCAATGCACATTGCAGGGCAGTGGTTTTCAAATGGGGTGTCGCAAAGCCATTATAGAATGTCGACAAAACCCATCCATGAACAAATAAATGAATAAATACAGCTTAAAAAATGTTTTTTGTTTTATTGGGGCACACTATGTTCCGTGATAGCAGCCCACCTCCATGAAGAATGAATAGCTTCTGTCGAAGTTTTCTATGACATATGCATGCACTCATGCTTTCTTGGGGTTTGCATATTTGTAGAGCAAGCACAGCTAGAAACAGGTGGAAATGTGGCTGCAGACCACCAAACTTATTAAAAAGCTGTAGAGATCGCGTTGACGTTACATTTTAGTTTAACAATTTTTTCGCCTGGGAGAAATGAAAGGCATGCATTCCACCTAGCGCGTTGTGGTAAATTATCACCTTTCCCTATCCGCAATGCAAGGGGTCCAGACAGAGACCATCAATGGCTAAGAACCATGGCCCAAGGGCAAAAGTGAAGCTTCAGAAGAGCAAGAAGCTTTAGTCAATATAATAGATTTGACTCACTCATACTCGAGAAAACCTAAGTTCTACTCATCTACGCTCGCTTGAAATTATATTAGCCAAACTTCTGGGTTCACTCGACTCGGGTCAACAATATTCCACTCAGCCAGATTAGCTCGGACTCACATTTCCCCAGAACCTAACCAAACTTGAGACTTGACAAAATCTGCCGGAGGTGCTCCCTGCTGACCTGCTGCTTTAATGATCTTTACTGTGGTTACATCCATTTTTTTTTCTTCTGCAGGACGAAGAATGATCTCACTACCTTCAGAAATAAAGGACTAAAAAGATTTTTTTCTTCATCAAAATACAAAAAAGAAAGTGGTGCGGTCACTGGAATAACCTGAACAAACTTATCTAACACCCGGCACTTTGTCAATGACAGCATGTGCCACTAGTGCAAAAGAACAGGCCCAGAAGCGACATAGGTGACACAGACATATTTTGTCAATCGTACTGAATGCAAACATCACATGAGGACGAAGGAAATAAGCTAGAAGGTAGCATCAATCTCAATTCCTTGTAGGAAATATAAAGCTAAGGGTTGTTGAAGATATCACGCCACCATTTGACGTGTAAGTTGATATTTCTAGACGCTAAGCATATGGCATGCACGACAGTAGACCAGGAGAATGTGACATGGTGCAATTAATCCAAATATGCACCAGTAATTGATAGAAATATACGCCACGTACATCTGCCGCACATAAAATAGTGTCTTGAATAAGTCCGACAACTAGGAAAGCAGTAGGCCTTCCCAGTTACTATGCTGTTATGCTGTGAAGTCTGTTAGCACAATGGTTCTTGGGAAGTAGTCCCAAGAACCGTTGTGGAAACAGGATTCGCAGCATGTTACCTTCAAGTCCCAGAAAGAGGGGAGGGTGGCAGAGTGGCAGCGCAGCATACTGGCTTGCCAAACCTGGTTGCCTGGCATGATGCTCTGTGTTTATTTTTTGCTTTCTTCACAGCACTAAATGAGCTGCAGGATACAGCAAATTCTTAATTATATGAGCTTGAGAAGACTACCTACACAAACACATGGTATAATATAGGCTCCATATAAGCACACACTAGGAATACAGGCAGCAAAACGCGGTCTTGCCTAAAATGGGTGCAGGCTGCCTGAATGAGCCCGCAGCATCAACCAGCACTGCTACAAGAAAGGTAGATTTAAGGGGCACTGACACTAAACTTCGCAACCATGATCGCCGGCAAGATTGATTCCCATCAACATGCCAAATTTCATCCTACCTGATTTCAATAGCAAATACAGCTTGGAAGGCAACTTACATTGACACACATGTTTATTGTGCAATTTCGATGTACTCTTGTTTCACCCAGAGAAAGCTTCCCAATGCTCAAACCATGCTGGAACGTTCGGGAAGCTTCACAATTGCTTCAGCTCCTTCTATTCTGTTAAGATTACACACAGGACGTGAAAGCCCCCATGTTCATTCGACAGCTTACGCAAGCGTGTGACGTCCGAATTTTCGGTGACGCACGTATCGATTCCGATGCACTTCCCCGCAAATTAGATAATCGACAGTGCACACTTTGTTCACTGCTCTTGGTACACATTTCATATCGCTCGTAGCTTTACTTCGTGTTTCTTGCGCACATGCTCACCCAAATAAATCGTTCCGTCTGAATCCCGCCGACTTTTGAATTCTTCAACATCGCGACTATGTGACAACATGAATTTCAATGCCTGCATGCCAGATTCAGTGATATGAGCTGCCCTCAGGAAACTGACATAGAACGCGATCCGAAGGTAACCCAAAACTTCCGTGACATCCCTGCTTTGGCCAAGCTCCAGTCTGGTGCGGCTAAATGATGACATCATATTCACCATTGCGCTTTTGCTGCGCTTGCACCAGCGAGCTTAGCTATGTTCGGTCGCTGCTCGTAAGTCCATGCCAGTGATGAATGTGTAGCAGCCTCAAGAAAGTCGGTGCCGCCAAATGACGACGATGGCGATGACAGCAACAATACTGCGCACGTCGTGTGGCAACGAATACGAGCAGACGATGCAGACAGCGCGGGAGTGCGTCACAGTTCTATCTGCTGTTCCACACGCCAGATGGTGTTTGTTATGCAGAATGTAATTATTTAGTGTTTATTAAGTAGACTGTAATTAAGCAGATCAAATATTTGTCTGTTGTGCACTGCAACAAGCAGTGTGCTGTGTTATTACTAATAAGCCTTAAGCAACATTTCAAGCCAAAATGCAATACAGCAAAATTTTAGTTGCTGTGTCTTCAAGTAGTTTTAAAAAATTAACAAACATTTAATTGGAAGTGACATTTAATTAGATATGTGGGTGAATTTTTATTCTAACTAAACTGAATCTAACAAGCATTTATCCCAGGTAAAATGAGTCCAAAAGTTGCCTGCATGATATAATTGAGTAAATAAACAAAACATAACATTGGCAGCAGCCTCCCATCAGAGAGGTTAAATAAGTGTCATCAACGTCACAAAATAGCAGTGAAGCACTATTTTTGCAAGCCCAAGCAGGATGAATTTTGGGGTAACTGTGACCTTCAGTGGACGTGGGAACAACCCTACGCTAACGTTTCCTAATCTACTGTTCAACGTGCAGGCTTTACCAGTGCTCCTACTGTCGTGGGTCGATGATTGCCATTGCCAGCCAGATAATCGTTCCTGCAGCAGCAATAGTGCTTTCGTTCGTGATCGACTCCGAGCATGTGCACTTCCCGGCTTAAACTTCCTTTGGCTATTGACTACAAACTGCCAACCGCATCGACCCCGACATCACACCCGGCGAAGAATTTAAGCTGCTGCTGCCACTGACCTTCCTTCAGTAGACACGGGAACAGCACCACGTCGGCGTTTCCTAATATACTGTTCAACATGCAGGTGTGTAAACCATTACCGCTTTTTGCTAGAAAATCAGATGATGCCTAGTATTCCCGTGTACACAGACATTTTGCGTAATGCTATTGGACTGTTGTTCAATGCTTCTGCTATTACTACAGCCTTGGTGATACTGAAACGAATCCGAGACCCACCACTCACTTCCAAAATCTTACTGATATTGCATCGTTGCCGGAAAACCCAACTGAGCAGATGTCAGTTCTATTTCAATCGATTAAGGATATTCATACGCGATCATTACAAAGTGCAAAGGCTCAGAACGAATTAGCTGCTGACAAAAAGTATATTAAATGTACCTAGAAAACCATAAAAACAAATGTAGTGGCTGTACAAAAGCGCCTAGACAAGCTGAAGCAAAAATCTGAAACCCTTGACAAAGTTAATGAGGAATTATCTTAAGTACATGCCTTGGTGAACAACCTCGCAGCATGTAATACTTCGTTTCAGTCACAGACTCGACTTAAAACATCGCTCATGGCACAGTAATCTTCTTTTCCATGGCCTTCCCAATTCTAAAGAAACATGGCTGTAGACAGAAGCCGAACTAACTGCTGAAATAAAGTCAGTTCTAGGTTTCTTCACAGGCCGCCCAATCGAGAGGGCACACAGGTTGGTCTTCTTTTCTCCCCCGATCTTCAACCCAATAATTATAAAACTTACTGAATTTCAATCAAAAGAGCGTCTGCTAGCCCTCCGGGGCCAATAAAAAAAAAAAGAAACATTGGTGTATCAGAAAACTGTTCACCAACCACTCGTCTCGCCTGCAAAAAGCTAACTGAATTCCGTAACAATCGGCCTAATCCTGCCTCCTTTAAATTTTGCTACAATAAGCTGGTAGAAAACAACAAGTGTTACATTTATCATACTAGCCTTGGCATCATCGAAGAATCACAATTGCATGCCCCTACGTAGCCCGCACACAAAATCCTCCAACAACTAGTTCACAATAAGGAAGCGAGAGGGGCAGTGGTCTATTATCCCCTTTGCCAGCTCAGCTAACCGTTCTTCATTCTATTACGAGAAGCATTGCAAATAAATCTGACTCCTTATCACGCGCCATAAATTGGTGCGGCGCTCATGCAATTGCCCTAACGGAAACGTGGCTTTTTTCAAATGCGCATGGCAATGAATTGTTTAATAATGCATGAAACTACTATCAGAGTCCTTCAATGCTTTTCTGGTCACGAAACTCCGCCCGAAGGTTGATATAGGGACAACATCTGTCGCTAGAGGCGCCACCCGTCGTATGGGGGCCACAAGCCGCCGCCACTGCTGGGCTTGTATGCGCACTGCAGCCGACGTTTCGACGCGATTATGTGCGTGCTGTTCTTCCTGTTACCTTTTTTTAAACGTCTC